CATTTTCTCAGTATAATGACTTTGATTAAGTACGAAACCCTTGTTATATTTCTTAACTTTAAATCCCAAAATGGTATCAACTTTATTTAAATATTTGATTTTGAAATTAGAAATCAAACACCTTTTGGTTTCATTTATGCCAATCATATTAGTACTAAAAATTAGCATATCATCCACATAGAGACATATTATAACTCCATATTCTTTAGTAAATTTTGAGTAAATGCATTTATCCACTTTATTATATTTAAAACCATTGGCTACTATAGTTGAATCAAACTTTTCATACCATTGATTAGGAGCTTGCTTTAGGTTATAAAGTGACTTAATTAATTTACAAAACTTTATTTTCATTACCTAAAAGAATAAAACTGTTTGGCTATTTGATGAATACTTCTTCCTTTAAGTCATTATTTAAAAAGGTCATCTTAACATCCATTTGATGCACTTGTAATTTATAAATGAAAACCAAAGCTATAAGAACTCTAATGGATGTTATCCTAGCTACTTGAGCATATATGTCAAAATAATCTATGCCTTCCTTTTGTTTAAAACCTTTTGCAACTAATCTTGCTTTAAAGGTTTATACAAAACCATCTATATTATATTTCTTTCTAAACACCCATTTATATCCTATAGGTTTAGAACCTAGAGGTAAATCTATCAAAACCCATGTATTATTGGATATGATTAAGTTCATTTCATCATTAATAGCCTCTTTTCAAAAAGCAACATCTCTTGAAGTCATAACTTTATTAAATGTTTTAAGGTCTCCATCTATATTTAGTAAAATTGGAGTTTCATTAAGCATTTTAGTTCTATTTCCTTCTACTAAGAATACTATAGAATTTGAAGAAACAAAATATGAAGGCAAACGATTCTCTTTTATAGTTCTTTTTCTCCTTCTAAGTTCAACATAATCATTACTTTCTTTTATTTTATTTTTAGTCATAAAAATCATTTCAATTTGTTTCTCCATATCAATTTTAGTATCACATATAAATTTATTTTCAATAAATTTTACGTGAATAGATTCAACAATAACATTAGTATTTAAATAAAAAAGTTTATATGCTTTTTAATTTGTGCATAACCAACAAAAATATTTCTAATACCTCTGGGTCCTAATTTTGATTTACGAGGATTAGGTATTTTATAAAAGGTAATGCACCCATACATTTCAAAATAATCCAAATTTGATTTTCTGTCATGATTTCAAAATTCATATGATGTCTTCAAAATTTTCTTTGAAAGAATTCTATTTGTATATGGCATGCTTTTAAAAGTGCTTCTCCCCAAAAATTTAAAGGTAATTTAGCATTTAACAACATACTATTTACCATATCAACTAAGGTTTTATTTTTTTTTTTTTGGCTAAACCATTTTATTAATGTGCATAAAGGGTTATCTTTTGATAAATAATTTCATTATCTTCACAAAAAAAGGAAAAAGAATCTGAAAAATATTTGTCACCCCTATCAGTTCAAAAATTTTGATTTTCTTCTTCTTTTGATTTTTAATAACTGATTTATATTTTTAAAATTTTTCAAAAGCTTCATCTTTTATTCTCATTAGATAAACAAAAGTATAACGAGAACTATCATCTATAAATATTATAAAATACCTTTTTTTCTCTCCTTGTTAATAAATCATTTAACTCACAAATATCAGATTGTACGAGTTCTAACAATTTTATATTTTGTTGACTTTAAAAAAAGATTTCTTAGTCATTTTTGCTTTGACATAGATTTCACATTTAATGTCATAATTTTTCTGTTATGTTATATAATCATGCTTAATCATATAATTCATATATTGATAATTTAAATGTCATAATCTAGCATGCCATAAAGAAGAAGAATGCGCAACAATATAAGCAGAAACATTATTTATTTCATCAATACTTAGTTTAAACATACCATCATTAGAATACCTTTTTCTAATGAATATACCATTTTTAGACACTATAACTTTATTAGACTCTAGTACAATCTTAATGCCTTTCTTACATAATAGATTTACAGATAAAGATTTTTTCTAATATCAAGAATATGAAAAATATTAAGTAAAGTTAGTTTTTATCTTGAGATGAATTTCAATTCAACCGTTCCTTTTTCCAATCACTTTAGTAGGAACATGATTTCCCATAAGGATGTTTTTAATCTCTTACATTATTCATAAGTCTTGAACTGCTCTTTGTTATAGCAAATATGAATTGTTACACCAAAATCTAGCCACCAATCAGATGATTTATTTGCAATAGTCATATGAACTTCGATGATCATTCCAATTTACATGTCAATCACCATTGCAATAAGTTCATTGATTTCTTACTCAATCATATTTGCATTGTTTTTAGAACTAGAACCAATCTTAATTCCAACATTTTTAAATCTATAATCTTTAATCAAATGTCTTTTCTTTCTACAATGGAAACACATTTTATTTTTGTTAAATTTGGATTTCTTAAATCCATTCTTCTTGACTTTAAAATTATTTTAAAATGTACCAGAAGACTTGTGAGTTTTTTCAAAATTTTCTCCACTCATATAGTTTATATTGAAACTTCTAAAAAAGAGTGCATCTCTTACACTATATTTTGCTTAAATCTATATGTGAGTTTGAAATTCTTCCAATAGTGAAAGTATCTGTTAAATGCAAAACTTTTTTTCTATATCCATGCCAAGAAGAATGAAGTTTTGACAAAATAGCTCCAACTTAAAGTGAATCAGGAACCTTAATTTCTAGCTCAATATGAGATATACCACATTCTAAATTACCAACAATACATATAACATCCTATTTCTTTTTTTATTTTTTATTTTTAATTAAATAAATTTTACTTAAAAAAAAAAACTAGCTCATCACGTAAATTTTGATAATTTTGACTTTTCATAGAGCATCATGGCAATCTCTTTTGCCTTATTATTTTTTTCTTGCATTTTCATTTATGGGGCTTCTAAATGCATTTTTGTTTATCTCTTTACATCTCTCTTTCTTTCTTTAATTAATCTCTAAGTAAAATTATTTAATTATTATTTTTTACAAGTTTTAGGATATTCATTTCTGAAATGTTATATATCTTTCTAGAAATTATTTTATGAAAGTTTAGGTAGTAAAACTTTAAGAAAAATTTTAAAAAAATTTATTAAAATTTTTATTAACTAGTCTAATGAAAAAATTATTATTAAAAAATTATAAGTTTTAAAATTAATTTGATCTTAGAGAAAGAATAAATCTTATAAGACCTTAAATAAACTAAAAACAAAATAATAAATGCAATTTTTTTTATAAATTTAAAATTCATCATTTCTTTTTAATATATTTTTTGTATTGATTATTAAAAATTTATAATAGTTTTAACTAAACCGAACTCTTTAAAAATGTTTCTCTATCTACTCATCACAATAGATTTCTCCAGTTAATATATTAAATTTTGACAAAATTATGTAGTATTTAGTAGTACTGCTTGTATAATTTCAAGGAGTTTTTACTCTCAAATATTGATAAGACCTGATAATTCTTTCCTCATTCATTGTGGCATAAGAAATATAATATTTTATTATGGCCTCCCAAGATTTTATTTCTTATATAAGGTCAAAATAATAAAATCAATTTTGTATTAATTTTAAAATTTATAACTTTTCAATAATAATTTTTTTCATTACATGAATTAATAAAAATCTTTAATAAAATCCCTTTTCTCTAATTTTTCCTTAAAAAGTTTATAATCTTTCTATACAATGAATTTCCAATAAGTTTTATAATTTTTTAAAAATTTATTTTTAATAAGTTGTGCCCAAAAACTTGTGAGAAAGGTAATTAAATAATTTTATTTTTATAAAATTTTGAAAAAAAAAAGTGAGGTTATGAAGAGCAAAAAAAGTAGTGCATTTAAAAGCTCTCTTTTATTTATTTTCTTTTCTTTTTTTTCCTTCTTTCTACATATTTAATTAATTATCTTATTTTAAAAAATTAGTGTGGGGTTTATTTCAAATTATTGATTAAAAAAGTATTTTCTTAAAGTTTTTAAGATTTTCTTATATATTTTTAAATAAATTACATAAATTTTACTCATTTTGACTTTGCAAAAAACCTTTCACTTGTCACGTTGATTTAATAGGAGCAATTTTATTTAAATCAAAATTAAATTGAGAGTGGAATGATTTTATATTTATCTATCTTTATTCACTTTTTTTTTTGAAAGATTTGTATTAAATGAATCAAACGTAAAAAATTTTTTTTATAAAATATAGTTTGTAAAAATAAAAAAATTAATTTATATATTCACACATCACTTACATTTGAGATTGTCTATATCTATTGACTTTTTTAAAATTAAATAATTTTTAAAATCAATAAACAAACATATTAAAATTTTTTTGACTTGCAACAATGCTACCTAATTTATATAAATATTAAGAGATATTTATTTAATCAGTTTGATTAATTTTGAACCTCATTATGTAAAATTGAATTAATCCAATTATATTATATTATTTTTATTAATTGAATCAAAATTATTAATTTCTCAAATTAAATGAATTTATTAATTAGGTCGATTCAATTAATTTTTTTAATTAACTGAATAATAAATATATTTAAATTAAATTATATTTTAAACTCTTAATTTCTTATATCTTAAACAAATTAAATAAATTTATCTAACACAATATTATGTTAAAAATTTTAATAATTTATAAAATAAAATAATTTATTTCATATATTTTATATTTTATATTTAAATTTTATTACGTTTTATTAAAATTTTAGTTAATTCGATTTTCAAATTAAATAATCAAAAATCAAAATTCTTTTAAAATTATTTTAACATTATAACAAATCAATTAATTTAATTAATTAATTAATTAATTCAATTAAAATTAGATTATCAAAGTCCTATAAATACTATAATTAAATATTTGTCACAGTTTTTCACTCACTTATCTTTTCCTCGAAACTTTAACAAAGTCGAACCGACCCAATTCGAGCCAAATCAAAACAAGCAAAACAAAACCACAGTTGCTGCAAATTAAAAACCCCTGCCCTTTGGGCTACATGCTTTAGACCTCAAATCTTATTTCCTTTTATCAACCCAGATGTAAATGTAATTTCCTTTCCATAACAGGGTATTTTATTTATTGCTTTTCATGGCTTCAGCTTATGTTAACAACATCGCTGTCCCACCGGAGGGTTTCCAGCCAACTACAAGTTATTCTTCTTACGGTTGGTTCAGTCCTAGGATTTCCTTCAGCCCAGAAGAGAAGCCGTCTAAGTCTAGACCCAAGTTTCCAACTGATCCTGCAGATCCTCTTCCTGGTTCTGATCCGCAAGAGATCCAAGACTTTGAGTTCAGGCTTGAAGATCCTGTCACCATGCTTCCAGCTGATGAGCTTTTTTCTGATGGTAAGCTTGTACCTTTGCAGTTCTCAACTCTGAAACACCATCCTCCTGTGAATGCTTTATCTGAGATCAGGTCCCTCAAAACAGCGAAATCTTGCCGTAGAACAGAAACGGAGATTTCTGGCACGGATCCTTACTTGTTGTCTCCTAAGGCTCCGAGGTGTTCAAGCAGGTGGAGGGAACTTCTGGGTCTTAAAAAGGTTTCCCAAAACACTAATCAACCTGCCAAATCCGAGTCTCAGAGCAAAACCTTATTATTATTATCTAATACTAACCCGAAACCTCTGAAGCATTTTCTTCGTAGAAGCTCAAAATCTTCCTCTTCCACCGCTTCCTGGGCAGACTCTTCATTAAGTCTTCCCTTGTTGAAAGACTCAGATTGTGAGTCAGTCTCTATATCTTCATCAAGGTTATCGCTTTCTTCTTCATCTTCCGGCCATGAACACGAGGATCTTCCAAGGCCGTCACTTGATTCCGATAAGCTAAATTTGAACAACCCCAGCCTGAAACCTTTTGCTCCCTGTAGAAATATGAACCCAAACCCAATAAGAATGAGGATGGTTAAACAAAGAACAGATATAGGGCCCGCTAATAATCAAACAGCAGCTGCTGGGACTCGAATAGGTCGGAGTCCGAACCGGAGGGATTCATCAGGTGGACTAACAAGCAGGGGACTTTCAGTAGATAGTCCAAGAATGAACTCTTCAGGAAAAATCGTGTTTCAAAGCCTGGAAAGAAGTACAAGCAGTCCAAGTCGTTTCAATGGTGGTCCTAGGTTTAAACAAAGAGGAATGGAAAAGTCATATTCAGCTAATGTTAGAATCACCCCAGTTCTTAACGTCCCCGTTTGCTCCTTGAGAGGATCTTCAAAATCAGGCTCCGTTTTTGGATTCGGACAGTTGTTTTCATCTTCCCCACAAAAGACTGCAAATGGAGGAAGCAGCAAAGGGCATCAGAGTAACAATAGCAGCAGAAACAAAACAACAGATCGAAATCATGAAAAAGAACCAAAAACAAACAAAAGAGATTTGGTAACAATCTAGTACTAAGTTTTAATTAGTAGTAGTTACATTTTTAACGTTTTCATGTGTTACTTTTTTAGATTTGTGTCGTGGGTTCTCTCTCTCTTTTTTTTTTTTTTTTCAATTTCCTGACAATTCCCACATTTTCTTGTAGCTCTTCTCTTTTAATAAAAGAAAACTTGTAGAATTTAGATGTAAATAACCATTTCCCTTCTTATTTGTGTTTTTTCTTTCTTTTATTGAAGTATTTTGCTGGCTTTTTAACGGAAAAAAGAAGAGAAAACTGAGAGTTTGGATGAAGTTGGTTTATGTTTTGGTTTGTAAGTTGATCTGAAAGATTTGGAATCTCTTTTTTTCTCTGTGATGATCAGTTAGAGGTTGGTGGTGAGGTGGAGTGCTGAATGAATTTTGGTTTTGCATTCCACGCTCTGGAAAAGAGCGTCTGTCAGGATTTCTAAGTCTTTCGAATAGTCATGTCGAGTACTTGAGCTGATCTAATCTGTCTCTTTCAATAAATGATATATTTAATATTATATTTTATATCTTTTGAGATTTGTTGTTTAATGTTTACTACTGGAGTTCGGGAAAATGATGATGAGACTTCCCACCCAGCGCTGCTGCAACCTTTTAGCCTCTTACTACTAATATCTTATTTCTTTCCGACATTATATATATATATATGTCACTATATTTTATTTTTCATTTTGATATGTATTGTACTGTTGAGACCCCTCCTTCTTTGCCCTAATTTGTTTAAATTTATGGGTGGCAATTGGACCACATGCCATCAACATTTGGTAAGAGGTTCAAACATGTGGGATATCTTCAACTAATACTTGAAATATTTCAGATGCTAAATTTGTTACCATCTTAATGTCATATCCTTTATTCCATTGGCCTACTTGTCTTCTCTTCTTAATTTATCCAAAAATACTTTTTAACATCCACATTAGATTAGTTGCATCTCAACTTTCCCCATTATAATGATTGATAAGATTTAAAGGAACAAATTTTGTAACAGAAAGGGGGAAAAGCAAGAACAATTTGTGGGGTTTCTTCTATCTATTCCGAAAGATGCAAGATTTCCTAGTGGATTGTAAAATTTGAATCTTAGGGAGGGTGATGGTGGGAAAGTGCTATATGCATGTTTCAGGGAAATGTATATAAGCATTCCTTTGCCTCTCGGTTACTGTTCCATGCAAGCTAAAAGTTAACAAATAAAATTGTAAAAGAAAAGGGCCTTTTGATACATTAAGAGCCCATTTGGTTTCAAGGTGCGGCAGTTGAATTTATTATATCATTGATTAAATTGATTAAATTTAAATGTTAATTTTAATAAATTTTATTTAATATGAATGTTTTATTAAATTTCTTTAATTATAATTATAATATTTTTAATTATAATTATAATAATTTTATTTTTTTTAAATTTTATCGTAATTAATTTTATTATCCATCCGAATAGCCAAAGCATAGAATCTTTTTTCTTGGGAGTGGTCTGGCCGGCTGGCATCTATGGCTCATGATTTTACTCCACCCTACTTGCCTAGCCCTCGGAGTCCGATCAATCCTCATGTACTAGTGTTTTTTTCTTTTTTAAGCCAATGATGTTTTGTTTGACCTCATCCCCTCCGGACCAACATCTTTGTCCCATTAGAAATCTAGCCCTTTACCCTTTGTTTTCAACATATTTGTTATTAATGTTAGATTTTTAATTAGTTTCGTCAACTCGAATTTTATGCACAAGGGAGAAACGTTTAGACGATCTGTACTTGAACTACTGTTTGGTACATCATCTAATTATTGATACTTGCCACTTCTAAAGCTAAAAGTAGCATGGTGGGAATTAGGGCTTAAATTTCTCTGGCTTTTCAAACTTGCAAATACATTGCATTTGTACCAAAAGGAAAAGTTTGAAAAAAGACTATAATTAAAAGATGATCAAAACCATGGCCTTAGATTTTAGTTGGACACAAGTGAGAATTCACTAAGTCATACCAGTGGCGTGACTTGTTAAAACTCATAAAAGGTAAAGAAAGAGGCTTAAGCCAAAACCAAAAAGAATAGCGTAGAAGAGAGGTAGTAGAGGCGGCCGGGCAAGCCATTGTTTTGGTTGAGTTTGGTGGGCTTGTGAATCAAGTCAGTTGAAAATGAGAGGAATTAAGCAACTCTTGAGCCAACAGTTAAACTTTGATATTCATGGATGGAGTTCAAATTTTCAGACAGACAGGCCAATAAGATTTATAAGATGAGAAAGCGCTATCTCTCGTTAGATAAGATGATAAAGTGCATGTATGTGGAGCTCGAGGAAAAAGGCCGATTCGTTGCTTATTACGCTTTAAGGATACAAAAATCATATCTTCTAAAAAAAAAAAGAAAAAGAAAAAAGAAAAGCCAATCCATTGCTTATTACAAATAGGCAGCTCAATGCGTGAATAAGATGCACTTGCTATTTATTAATTTGAAGCGGTGTAACGGTTCATTTCAAGTTTTTAAGCAGCTTCAAAATAATAGAAGCCCTGCCTGCAAAGCACGGAATTGGGGAATCAATGAATAAAACAACGTGCTTTTCTGCATAGATTCCCATTCTTCCAATCTCTATCTGATCTTTCTGTCTGCAAGATTTGTCAGTCTACTTTCCCTAATTGAGCTTTTAGCAGTTTCAAAACGTCTTTGCTTAAACTGAATCAGATTTCTATTCAGCTGAGTGCTGACTTTGATTTATAGTTGCCACTTGTCAAAAGTAACTCCAAATTTTATACCCCTTCCTTTTGTGCGTTCATATCTCACTAGGAAGATAAGGGCACATTTTTTTAAAGCTTATATTTAATATATTTTTAGTATATAAATTTTATATACAGTTAATAAATTAAATTATAATAATTTATTAATAAGATGAATCAGATGATAATATTTTGTTAATGAATAAATTTTTAAAAAAATTTTAATTTGTATATATTTACTTTTAAAATTGATATTTATTTATTAATGAAGTATCATAATATAATTAATTGATAGTAAATAAATTTCATATATTCATAATATATCAAATATATATTTTTTTTACCATGAAAAAATGTACATTTAGAGGGAGGATCATCTATCTAACATATTAGTTTTGCGGAAAATGTAGAAAGGAAATAGTGTTCACATGCCACCTCATCCTTTCTTCATTCTCTACTTTTTTTATTTTTTACTTTTTAATCATTTTTATTAAATTTATTTGTAAAGATTGCTCTTCCTGCTGAAAGTTCTGATATAATGGTTACCAAGACTCAAGCTCTGGGAATAAAGAATTCTAGAATTGTATGTATGACTTTAACTTTTATGGGCAATTTTTGCATGGGCCCAATTTTCACATGAGGAATCACACTCTCTTAGGAAATTGGATAGGGTTCTTATTAATGATATATATGGCTTTCTTAGATTGAAGAATCAACAGTAGAATTTCTACCACCTGAATTATCAGCGCATTTCCCTGCTTAATCAAGATGAATGAGCCAAGACAATCCCCTCCAAAGCCTTTAAGTTCTTTAACTTTTGGACGAAGCATCCTGAGTTTATGAGACTGGTTCAGGAATCATGACAGCTTCCAGCACATGGAATACCAATGGCGAGGTTGCACAGGAAGCTCAAAAGGTTGAAGCAAGTTCTGAAGAAGTTCAACTTTTCACAATTTGGTGATATAGGAGTAAAAATTAAAGCTAAAAGAGAGAAGTTAACCACTGCTGAATCAGTTATCCTAACTTAATCCTCTAGTGCTGACGTGGAGCAAGAAAAGAAGCTGAATTTGGAGCTATATGAGTTACTGCAGGTTGAGGAGAGTATGCCGAGGTAGAAATCCAGGATTAAATGGATCTAAAAGGGAGATAAAAATACAGGGTATTTTCACAGAATAGTTGCGGCCAAGCAGAGAAAAAACACAATAAAAGTATTGAATGATGGAGAGGGAAACAGATTGGAGACGTATCAACAGATTGCTGCTGAAGCAGTGGGATTCTTTAGACAAACTGTTGGGTACAGTTGATGCAAGTGTAGCAGGCTGCCCAAAAGAGTTACTTACAAAGCTTTTCCCAGTCTCCCTATCGGAAGAGCAACAAGCCTTGATATCGCAGGAGGTTACCAGATAAGAAATCCAGAAAGCCATGTTTTCTCAAAATGGAGATAAAGCTGGGTGAGAGTTGCGATCTAAGAAGAGAAGTATGTTACCATTATAAGATAGCAGTGTTTTACTGCTTATCGGAGAATAAAATTATAGCTTATCCACAAATTTTTTTTGTTTTTTAATTTTTTAATTTAGTTTTTAATTTTATATTTTATTAGATAAATTTAAAACAAAATAAAAATAATAAAATAATTCATATTTAATTAATTTTGATTGGCACCAATATAACATATATGTATTTTTAAAAAACAAAGATTAGATCGAGTTTGGTGGAGTTTGAGATGGAAATGGATTTAAAGTGTTTCATTCCATCTTAAGTGTTTACGAGACACCTCTTTCCTTTTGTTTTTTATTTTTAATTTAATTTTCTTTGTTTTTTAAAGCTTTTGTTTTTTGGTTTCCCTTTTTCCATTTTGTTTTTTTTTTTAATTTTTATTAGATAAATTTTATAATAAAAAAGTCAATTGAGATAGAAATTATAAAATAATTACTATCTGATTGGTTTCTATTTGCTTTAATTTAATTGATGTGTTTTTCTTTAATTCAAGATAATTGGGTTGGATTTTTTTTTAATTTGAGTTGGGCAAGAATAAAATTTTGAATGTTATGTCTCGATTTTAGTATATAAAAAATATGTTTTTTATTTATATATAGAATTTGTTTTATTAAAAATATTATTTAATATCTTAATATATTCGTATATTACTTTTTTTTGTAATTTCTTTGTTTTCTAAAATTTTATTTATTAGATAAATTTTATTAAAAGAAAGGTAATTGATGTAAGGATAGTAAAATAATCTATATTCAATTAATTTTTATTCGTCATAATTCAATTGAAACGATTTTTTTTTCAAATAACGATTGAGTTAAGTTTTGTTTATTTGAACAATTTATATCATGTTAAAATCGAGTTTAAGATACTTTATCTTGATATTTCTCAAAATATATAAAATGATATATTTTATTATTTATTTAATTTATATTTATATGTATTATATTAATGAAAATAATATTTAATATATTAGTTTAATAAAAATTATATTTATATATAATTAAGCGAATATAATTCTAGCAATAATATTTGATAATGTTGCTGTTGGACTGTTGGTAGAGAGAGAGAAAGAGGCAACGATAATAATAATGTAAGTGATGACTGATTTCTTTCCTGTTGATTACTTAGATATATTATACATTTTGTCTTCAAAGATAGTGTCAACCCAATAACAATATTCCTCCAAGTCTGTCACTGTGTCTTTTTTTTTTTTTCTATTTTCTTTTTGGACAGCCCGTTCTTTAAAGTACAATTTTTT